ATTTTATATCACATCGCTTCAGTTGTTTTAACAACATATGTACTAAAAGGTATTTTGACAACAAATATATATCAGCTGTAGCAGCATCATATGAATTCTGGCATTTTACACATAGTCCACCAGGAGGCGCCAACACAAAAGTCAGAGACTTCACATGAGATTTGGGCCATCTTGTGGGGGAAAAGCAGATTACTTCCTACTCACGAGCGCCCCCCTCTGGTGGGGAAACGTTTTTTCAGGGATACAAACTTTTTCAGAACACTGGTAGACGGCAGCCATTACAGACGAACATGTTTGTTGTTGTTCCAGCAGCGGCCCGGTCACACGCTAATGTCATTAGTTTGTTATCATTACTAAGGTGCAGGACTACTTTTTTTTCTTTTTTTCACATCATGTCACCTGCCTGGATCTGTTATTATCTCACTCTGAAGAACGGAGGAGTGTCACAGGTGAGCTCACTTCTACTGCTTTTTACGACGCGGTCTCATTTCCAGACTCAGGCATTTTGTGAATGAAGCTGATATTTCTGTTAAAAYACATAAGTAAAAATATTTATCAGAGTATAGTACTGCCCCCCAACTTTATGGATGATTTTATGGATTTAATTTTACGTATTATACTTGAATAAATACGGTAATTAAAATCTGATCTCGAGGGATGAATGTGGAAACACGTTCTCACAGATAAGTGTGGAGACATGATTTGAAGTGCTAAATTGTGATTTGAACACCCAGAGCCAATGCTGATACCAGGCCTCTTTGAGTTCATTTCTTTATGGCTGATGAACCAACTGTGAGGTTCACAGGGACAAACGGTATCAGGACAGAGTCAGTGACTAGCTGTTGGAAGATGAGGATGCTACTTTGACAACTTAAAGGAGAAATATGTTTCCAAATCAAAAAAACAATGATGTTTTTGTCTCCTCTGGATAAACAAATAGCTGTAAATCAACAAGAAAATCTAATTTGATCAGCGATGAATTATTCAAGATGTTCTGCTGCCTCCATCTGGTCAATGAAAGTATGATTATTATAAAAAGGTGAATGAGAAAAGAAAACACTTTGTGAAATAATATGAAAATATGAACATTTTTGGCCTCCTACCAGTTTCTGAATATGAAGAATCAGTCATGAGAACATCTGGAGACTGGCAGCAAATTAGAGAACTTGACGCCTCAGATTCTTCCTCTTCTTCCTTCATCACTTCATCAGTGTCTTCCTCCTCATCCTCATCCCTCCTCCTTTCTGTGCATTCCTCCTTTCTCTTGACCTCCTCTTGCTCGTCTCTCACGTTGTCGTTTAGAGAAGCTTTCCGACCGAGGCCAAGCATTTCTTCTTCATCGTTTTGTGAAAGAGGGAGACTTTGAGTCTCGTTGAGGTTTTGTGTTTGGGCAGTGAGAGCTTCAGAGATGGCTACGTTATCACAGAGGTCAAACCCGTCCGGAGAAACCCGTGACATAGTTCTGCTGTCCCTCTCAAACTGACCTGAGAATGAAAGGAAATAATCTACTAAATACAATGAACACCTGATTAGTATGAGAGTCTGTCAGCTGACTCAGACTTTATACATTATTTATAGACTGTCAGTTGCAACTTGAGCCAACAGCAACCACAGCACAGACAGAAAGGTGCCAAAGCAGCCTTCCTCAATCCCAGCTGGTATTTTCACTGTAAATCAAATCCAATTACTTTTTGGTTACAGTTTTGAAAATTTTCCTCTCATATTTTGCAAGAGAATTTCAATTTCAAGTTTATTTCAAGTTTATTTATATGGCGCCAAGTTACAACATACATTGTCTCAGGGCACTGTACATAAAAAGAATTATCTAAAGAAGAAACCAGCAGATTGTGTTGAATCACTTCATCACAGTCTCCCATCCTGAGCAAACGGTGGAGAGGAAAAACTCCCTGCTAATCAGGAAGAAACCTCCAGCAGAACCAGGCTAAGGACAGGTGGCCATCTGCCTCGACCAGCTGGTTGAGGGACAGGAAAGAGACACAGGTAAACACAGAAGAACTGGTCCAGGACTGGTCCAGGTGCACCTTCTTCTGGAAGAGACAAAAAAAATAATACTTGCACTTACCACCATGATCCATTGATTTCCACAGCTTTAAGGCCCTGTGCTGCCAGCTAAGGAAGCGCCTCTTCAAGCCTGCAGAGATGACCAAGATTTGATAGAAACAGAACAGAAAAGATAAGGAAAGCTTGCAAGTTTGAATCACAAAGAAAACAAGTTTTGCACCATTCCCAAGATGTCAAACAACCCCAGATGATGAAATGTTTCAGACAGAAGGGCCTTTAGAACATTTACGCGACATGCAGTGGATTTTTTCATGCACATGCTGACACAAATTTTGAACATTCTGAAACATTTTCATTAACTGTTAAAATACAAAAATGACATTATGACAGGGCTTTTCAACTAAATTGCTCTGGGGGCCACAGTTAACCCTTTGAGTCCACATGACTTTAGAAGATTTCCTTCAGTTCTCTTGTCGGCCCTGTACCGGGCCCAACAGGGCTTAAAGGTTTTTAATGCAGACCAACAGCTCAGGGGCCAAACATCCAGCAATTAAAGTTGTTATGTAAATAAATTAAGTATTACAAAGATCCGTTACCTTTGAAGTAATTTTTTTTGTTGTATTTAATCATGAAAACATACAGAACCCTATTTAATTTATGGAGTAATGATAAAACAAAAAAGGAAACATATGCCTCTTATTTACCACAAAATATTTTGACATCTCTGACTTGCCAAGTTTTTAAAACAATTTTATTTTCACTTTCATGGTTTTATCTTCAACTGGTTGTAGTTTTAACTGTCTTGAGTGTTTATAGAAATGGTTTTTACCAGTTCGTAGCCAAGATTCTGACGTTTCTGTAGATACCAAACATGTCTATGTTTAACTAAAATAACTTAGAGTAATTAAAGTAGAAAAAAGGGGGTTTGGGCTTAAGAGATGAATGAACCAATTGGCGGCCGAACTTTGGTCACTCGCGGGCCTGATGTGGCCCGTGGGCCGCCAGTTGAATAGCTCTGCATTATGATTAAAAAACTGCAATAAAAAAGCAATTAACTCATTAGACACAACATATTTTATTGCTAAAACAGCAAGTTTTACAAGTTACTGCAACATAATTTATATGGAGACAGTTTAGAGATACCAGTTAGCCTAACAGTTGTGTTTTTGGTCTGTGGGAGGAAACCAGAGAAAACCCATGCATGCACGGAAAGAACATGCTGCTAACTCCACCCTGAAAGGTCCCCGGCGGGGATTTGATCCAGCAACGTTCTTGCTGAGAGGCAACAGCTCTACCAGCTGAGCCATCGTGCCGCCGTAAAACACGAACAGGTTCGATTAATAAAACGAGGATAAAGTAAATCACACAACTGAAACCTCTTCTACACAAAACAGCAAACTAAATATTATAAAACACAACAACATATCTGTTAATGTCATCAAAACATGTTCATGCTGCAGATTTGCAATAGAGTGAAATTTGATTCAAGATGAGATTTGACACAGGCTGTTCTGGACTAAATACTGAACAAACAGGTAAATCGGTTTAAAGTGGAAATCAGTGTTTTGCAATTGCAGGCTTTTCACTTTTTCCTGCCTTACCCGTGTTTACAGCTGACTCAGCAACAGTCAAAACTGACACAACGAGAAGAACCACTTCTTGTGTCTTCAACAGCCAGTTCAGCTGCACCTCAGTGACTTGGTGCAATCACCCTATTTAATAAAGTCTATAATTAGTTTAGACCTGAAGCGTGTTTTAATCACGGGAACGGGTTTTCCAGGTCTTTATAACTCGTCATTTAATTGTGTTCAAGGTCATAATGTTCTGTCAACTCTGACCATCCCAAAGTGTATCCATTTATTCCTGAGGTGTTGAGATTTCAGTATACTTTAGAGAAATTCAGTAAAAGCCAACACAAACTGAAAGGTAAGTCAAGAAAAAAAAGGAAATGATTATGAAAACTATTCACTTTCAAGATATACTTCAAAACAAACACCTTGAGATAAATTTGACTTGAGTGAAATAATGCATGACCCTAGAAGATAAAATTAAGTATAAAAATCGAGATTAATCTCAGAGGAACTGGTTTCCAGATTAACTATTACTTAACAATTGTTTTTATTTTTTAAAGTTGTGCTGTTAAGACACAGTCCTCACATTTGGAAAGAAATAAACAAATGCATCAGGTAAAATATTAGATTTCTGTATTAAATTGCTACTAAAGATGTGGTTGAAACACTTGGTAACTTAATAAAGAACGGTGAAACCCTTCAGCACATAATCCCAACAAGAAGCAACAACCTGTAATTAAAAACTGAGCTGCAAACAGAACTTTATAAAGGATGTCAGTGTTTTTACAGTGTAATAATTGCTTCAAGATCCTGCTTCGTGGTATGAATGTGAGAGATCAACAGTGCCAGACCATAGCAAACAGCTCTAACATTAAGATTTACCCAGCAAACCTCAAGGTCACAGCCATAAAAACAACAATCCTGCTATTCTGACTTGCTTGGGAGCATTTTATTCTGCAGTATCTTTTTCTCTTTCTCTCTCCCACAGAGTTGTCCTTCCATCCTCTCCTCTTTTTCTGTCTGTGACCATCTAAACCATGAATAATAAAAGGCAGAAGTAGGGTTGGGCATAATCGTATCGTGTGCAATTAATCATCAGAAAAACATTAATCGATTATTTTTTGGCACTTGACGATTAATACGATTAATGTCACCAGGCAGACTGACTGGATATTTCCCCGGTCAGTGCGCTCGGTGCTCCTCTCTGCTTCAAATATGACAAACATTTTAAAAAGTTTTGTGATTTATTTATCTACCAACACAGTTTAAAATTTGATTTATAGCCTGAAGTCTGTAATTTTAACACAATTTGGAACAGATTTTTATGAAGAGCAAATCTTTCTCACTAAATTGGTCATTTGACTAGGACATAAGATTGTCCAGGGACTCCAGGGGATTAATTGTCAAATTAAGCGTTATCGGCTAAATACCGCAATTAATCGCGATTAATTTTTTTGCCAATATTGCCCAACCCTAGGCAGAAGAGGGGACTAATCCAGCCAAATAGACAAACACAAAGGTTGAAAAATAAACTCATTTGTAAAAGGCTCAATACTGAAACAAAAATTAATACAAATTAACTCGCATTTATTAGAAAACTAATAAGACAGAGTCGATCTGAAGGCTGGATTCATTTAAAATGTAGGAAACCTAAAATATGTGCAGCAGATAGGTGGAGCACTGAGGCTGGCCAATGTTCAAAACAAGCAGACAAGTCTTTTTTTTTCTCTGTGTGATTCAGTAACTAATGTGTAATTACTAATAAAACAAAACAAAAAAACCAGTGTTGAACGTTGTAGTGAAAACACAGAGACAGCACAGCTGTCCCCTGTAATAATGACAAACACATTCAGTAAAACAGCTGATTAAACCTTCTTTCGTTTTCTGTAAATTTATTCATCGCAGTTGCTGCGTTTGTCTTGTGAACATTAACGCAAACGGTTTGTTGTGTTTCATTAGAGAAGGCTAAAAACGCCCTGAGCTTAGCTCAGATCTACCCGTTACCGACCGTAAAACGCTTCAGCGAAAGGTTTAGGTGCGTTTGTGTGCGTTGCTATAAGCTAACACGAGCTAACGCAAAGCTGCGGGAGCAGAGACACATCTGGACACCTTCACGCATCCTGCTGACATTTATTCATGCGTTAGTTTAAACAGACGTGTGAATGTTGACACACGTCTTTGTTAAAAGGTACTTACGGCTGAACAGAGAGGCTGACGGGCAGAGTTAAGCATCAAACACCTTTCCTCAGATGTTGTAATGACTGAAATGTGTTTTTTTTTTTTTTCTTCCTCACGCAGCCAGGGGTCGTTGCTGTCACAACAAGGCCTGCTTCTTTAAACAGATCTGAGGCGACCGCGCCCCCTGCTGCTTCAACTCAGTATTACACCAACACTCTTCTGTTAGCTCATTAAAACTCACTCAAATTAAATGTATTATCAAACAAACAAGCATTTAATAAAAACCCTGAATTATAATATATTGTAAACTCTAATTTTTTTTATAAACAAAGTGTAAAGAGGTCTGTTCCAACACTGAGTGTTCTTTTGCTATAGGG